TGGCCGGCAGCAGGACAAAGGCTGAAACTCGTCTAATTGCGCGCCTATGATGAGGATGCGTAGAATTCAGAGTTCCAGAACTCAGAACAGAAGACTCCCAAAAATAGGAGAACGAAGAATCCTTGTGCATGCGACGGAACCTGCCAATTGTTTGGGAACATCCCTTAATCTGTGTCGGTAATCGGTAATCGGCGAAAATCGCAGGACTCGACGCACAAAGCGGCCGAGCGGTCGAGATCCTTTTGAACTTTTGCTTGGGCGCAAAAGAAGGTTAGCAAAATATTATTATAAACCTACAGAACCGTAACCCACATAAACAAAGTTTTTGCACACAGAAAAAATGGGTAATAGAACTATTAGCAAAATGAAATATATTTAAATAAGAGTTTTACTTATTTTAGGATGTTAAAATATACATTTAATATTTAAAATTTTATATAAATTGACTGCGGCTAAAATCTTTCTTCAAGATATATTTATAATAATATATATTTGTTTATAACAATATATTTTTAAAACATGAAGAGAAACTAACTTCGGGGAGCAACAGTTAATATATCTCTGCATTTTGAAATTAAATTATAGGACCGAATCGGTAAGCTTAAAATATTCGCATTTTTTAAATTAATATTTATCCATATTTTTATATGATTTTTTTTTTTGAAAAATCAAATTTTAAAATCTCATAACTAAGCCACAAATTTCAATTCGGAAACCTTGCTAGTTTTTATTAGTTTAATAAATCAGCTTACTCCATTTGAAATTTTAGAAAATTACAAATTTGGTCAATTTTAGACAATTTTAACGATGTAACCCCTTATATAATTTTGAAATTTTTGAATAAATTTCGAAAATTTATTTATCAACAGGACATGACTAGATTAATTCAGCTCTTAATGCAGATCAATAATATATCTGATTTATAAAGTCGGAAACGATTCCTTCACTTAGTTTTAAGCTTCTGACTGAAATCATATTACCCTGCAGGGATATATTACTCTAAAATTCAATTTGAATTCAATAATTTTTTCTTCAAGTGCACCTGCTTACGCATGTGCCTGTGTGTTTACTCTTGAATGAACTGAAAACATTTCAATTTGACAATCGTAATGGAGGCAAGGATGCTGAAGCCGCTCAGCGCTAATATAGGTGATTTAGGGGATTACATCAATTGTAAAATTGGTCAAACACCGCAACTGTTTCACCCCGCAAATCGGATATTCCACTGCCCCGGGAAACGCACTCGCACTCGCTCTCACCCACACAGAGTTGCTCGCCATACAAAGGAGCGCAGGACGAATCCTCGAGGCAGCTGTTGAGTTTCCCTTTGAGAGCCTCTCATCGCCGGCCATTGTCCAGTTGCTGCTTTTCGTCCTAGTTACACATATGCATACGAAGGACCTTACCGTCCGTATCTCGGGGCTACGCAGGACCCCTTGTTCAATGCCTTGTAATCGCTCCTGGCTTACCACAGATTATGCAAGCCGCGTTCTCCCTGGGAACCCAATTTCCATTCGCCATTGATTCACATTCCCGGAAAAATGGAAAAACTCTGGCAAATCTCTGCTGCAATCTGGCATCAGCCGGCAAAGACTGCACTTTCTAGTCCAAGGAGGTGTAAATCTTCAATTTTAAGGTTAATTTCCCGATGAGGTGCGAGAAATGCGAAGCGTTTTATTGGTTTAGTAGAGCAGTCAGGGGGCGTAATTTAAGGACTCACCGAATAGTCTTAGATTAAAGCTAGGTTAAGGGTACTTTGGCGGAAAAGGATATATTGAGGTTTGGTACATATCCTTTCGAAGGTAAATATTATTATTTGAAATATATGTGCTCCTTACAATAAAACGGTATCAAACCTACAGGACGCATTGTTTATTTAATTTTTAGAACTACTAAAGGTACTTAAATTATAAAATTTTCACTTTGTTTTCTTACAATTTATAAATATATTTAATCGCAGGACCTTCAAACCTTTTCCTATAAAAAATCCTGTCAAAAGGAATTAATGTATACAAAATAAATTCTTGAACAAAAAAAGAGTAAAAACCAAAAAAGCACCGCAACCATTTTGCAAACTCATTAAAAATTAAAACAAAAAAAAGGAGAGCTAGCAAAAAAGAACATAAAACAAAAGCAACGAGCAGAGCTTGCACTCTGTTTGCTTCTCTCTCTAATGCACTCACTGTGTTACCTTTGCACTCTGAACTATTTGCATCTCTGTTTCTCTACTCTGCTCTCTATTTCTCTCCCTCTTTCTGCTTTTGCACCTTTATTTCATATTTTATTTTTGCACATTTTGCTGGATTTTCAAGTTCCCTTTGTTGTTGTCGTTGTTAAGCTTAGTTCGTGCTGCACTGCTCTGCATTTACAGTTAGTCCACTCTCTGACCGCCCCTTTCACTTTTGCATTTCCCCCCCTCCATTCACCTCCCCCCCCTCCATTCACCTCCCCCCCTTTATTCTTCTTTGTACAGCCTCTCCTTCGTGTGTTTGAGTGTGTGTCTGTGTGTGTGTGTTTGGTCATGCTTGCATGGCCTTTGAATAGGAAGCGAGGAGAGGTGAAAAGGGGGGAAGAGATAGCGGGAGAGATTAGGTGTGTAGAGAGAAGAGGAGCACGGCAGGGATACACTGTAAAAATATTACCCCAAGTCAATACTTTATGAGAAAGTGATAAATCAAATCGCTTGAATATATTCTAATTTACAGTACAGTAAAATCTAGAAAACTATTTTTAGAATTTACCATTCCAAGGCCATTCCAATTTCCATTATCTTCCTCTGACACCCATTAAAACTTTCTTTCTTTTTTTATTTTTTCTTTAAATATAAAAAGATAAGCTTTAACATTTTTTTTGTCAGTGTATTCAAGCTTCATAGGCCGTTGTCGTTTTATTTATTTGAATGTCCAGTTTGTTGTTGTTTGTTTTGCTTTTTTCCCCCGTTGTTGCTGCCTTTTTTTCATTGCATTTATTTATTCAACTAAATGCAGATTGCACATTTTTGCATGTGACGTTCACTTTGCTTTTAGTTAATCACCATTTTGCTGCTTTTTTTCAAGTTCTTTTTTGTTGGCAATAATTAAAGGTTTGTACTGTAAGCAAGTTCAAGTCTACGGACCATGACTTTATACTTTTATTGGTGTAGTTAATTCTCCCTAACAAAAAACCTGTAATTTTTCAACAAAGATATGTATATCAAATCATCAAAGCTTTGCTATTTGCATATCGATTTCCCAATACAAAACCCTTACAATGGACGAAACTTACCTGAGAATGCAATGGAAATGGCGACCAGGTCCTTTCAAGGATCCCTCCTTGCCTTCTTGTCCCTGAAGAGTTGTGCTTTTGTGCGATTCCGTAGAGCTGCAATTGCTCAACTCCAGCAAAAGCAACGGCGATGTGCATTGCAATGCCGAAGGAAAGGATATAGAGGGTCCTAGGACCCAAGTCCTGGTAAAGGCAGAGGGATGACAAGCGCACCAGCGAGCAAACAAAGTCAAGAAAGCCGCACCAGAGATATCATCAAAATGAATATGAGATTATATTTGAACTTGGTGGGTAAAGGGGAACCCCAACTTTAACGAGCAAAATTGGCGACAGGTGGAGAAATTATACTTAAAGAACTTGCAACAAAGGGAAAGATATAACTATTTGTCTAGAGAATATAAGATTTTGATTTCTTAAGAATTCTTTTAAATAAATACTAAGATTCTTTAGTTCATTAAGCCTTCTTCAGTTTTTTAAGGAACCATTTAATTTGAAAATCTAAAAATCAAGTTATTAATCGTTAGAACGATTCTTGATTTCAGTTTCCCCAAAAGAAGTATATCCTTTCTACCAATGTATATATTATATAATCACTATTCTTATAAATTATTTTCCTCTGTATATAGGATACACAGATATATAGATATATAAATAGATTCAAGAGTACGAGTCGGTGGAATCAGAGAGTGTATCCTTGCCCGCTGGCGGGCTAAAGGTGAGCAAACAAAGACGCTGATAAAACGAAATGCCAAAACGACAATTGAAATGCCCAACAAAAGGCAAGAGCTGTCCAAGGAGGGGAAGGACATCACTAAGGGGGACATAGAGGGGAAGCTGGAGGTCCTGCCTGTGTGTATGTGTAGTGAAAAAGTCAACTCGTGAGGGAGCCCCCTCTCCTCATCTGTGTGGCTGCCATTTTTTGGTGCCTCCTGCTCCTCATCCGAAAATCAAGTGTGAAAGGGGAATCCGGCCAAAGGATTCTCTCTCTTGCACTCTCGCTGTCCTTAATGGCCATCTATACCTCTCGCTCTGATAATGATGATGATGATGATGGAACCTCCTCCTCCTCCTCCTCCTGCATCATCACTCCTTTATGTATCTTCCTTGCCAGGTCTACAGCTCTTCAGCTCTATCTCTATATAAATATTTTAGGGGCGGTCTCTCATGTCTCTTTCTCTCTCTCTCTGTCTCTCTTGGTCACCCCCTCTCCTGGCATAATATATTCCAATTCGACATTTTGTCCTTTCATTCATAATGCAGCCGGCGTTGGGTCTCTGCCGCTGTCGCTGTCAGCGTCGAGGATATGCCATCCAATCTGAACATGATGATGAAGTTCTCCTTTTGCCTGCTATCGCTCCTGTCCGAAATCCATCAATCCATCCTGCTCTGGCATTCGCTTTTAGCCATCTCTCTCTCTCTCACTTTTATGCCTTCTCTCGCTCTATCCTGTTGGCAGGACTCTGTCAGGGGTTGATTCCATCGAGCAACCCCTCAACGCTCAGCTCAATGTGTGTCCTTTTCATATTTCTTAAGACCCGCACCGCTCGCTATTTGCCTTCATTCCGCTCCGGTCGCTGATCCTGTGCTGAACGCATCCTGAGTGCGCATCCTGTTTAACGCGTTCTCACTAAATTTGCATTTAAAAAGCCTTGTCCTTTTTACGAAACAAGTGATAAACGAAAAATAAAAGAAAAGACAAACGAGAAACTTTAAAACCAAGTTGATATAGTGTGTGTCTTGCAAGTGTTGTGGTTTAAATCAATCCTCGGCGAGTGGCTGCCTGCCCAAGGAATTGGATACCCAAAATAGGCGGTGCCTAAATATGGTTTACTTTGTACGTATTTTTCATAATTTATATATTATTTTATTATTATTATTAAATGGGGAACCAGAAAGTGCCGACGGGTAATGGTACTATTTTCTATATATTTCGAATAAAAGTGACTGAAAATATAGCTAGCTTATCGGGAGAGATAGTTAAATAATATAATCTTGTAGTTGTGTGTTAGAAATATTTAAATATTTTGTTTGCTTTAAGAAAGCTTTAACTATACTACAATTAAGGGTTACATGATGATTTTATTCGTTTAGGATCAGTTTTAAAACCGTTTGGCTTTAATATTTCAATTTTATTTATATCAAACCATTCTTTCCAATCTAAATATTTATTCGATTTCCTATTATAGTTTTATTTGGTTGACAACACTTTAAGCTTCTGCAAATATATTTAAATATTTTCCTTAACATTAAATGGAACATAAATATATTAGAATTAGGTGACATTTATAAGGTTTAAACATTTATAAAAGGTTTATTTATTATTGCATAGGCTACCATTATTTGTGGTTTAAAATATTAACTTGTGTCATTTATTTATTCATTTAAAAGTGAATCAATAGTTACATTAATATATTTAAAAGCTCAACCTGTTTTATTTTCTAAATAAAAACTAAAAGGGCCAGGTGCCTGAGATAGCCTTTCTTAATTTAAATACAAATATCCCATCTCAGCCCGCTCTACCTAAACTAAGTCAAAGTCTGTTGATTAAAAAGCCTTTTGATTAAACATTATTACCCACACGTTGTTAATAAGCTCACACACTCTTCAAGAGCTGATGACTCTCAAGTGGCCACTGGAGGAGGAACACCAACCTAAATAATTCGAATACTTAATTCTTGAACTACTCTGAATGTGTGGATGGATAGTGTAAAGTGGCGGGAAAGTTTCCAGGTCCAGAGAGGGCCTCCAGGGTCAGCGTGTGAAATGGGACCTGCCCCCTTTCTTTCTTTATTATTTTTATTTTATTTAATAAGATTAAACCGCACTTCGGGAGGGAAACTATATCCCGTAATACACAAGATGGAAGTTCAACCCACTGAGGCGTCAAATCAAGTTAATTAAAAGCGGCAAGGAAGTTGTTGGGTAATCGCACCGGATGTCGCACATTAGCCACACTCGAGGGCACATGGAAAGATGGAGTTGGAGACCAAACCGAGACTGAGACCTTACACCTCCTCCAGCCGAGTGTAAGCGATTCGATGATGATAATGTGCAAATAATGGCATAAAGACCCGCGCCAAAAATATATATTATATATTTCGCAGACTCCGTCGGAGAATGTGTGTTATGATTGATGGCAATATGCTGGCGGAAAGGATTGAGGCTTTTGTTTGGGTTAACCGGAGCGTGAGATGCCGGGGGCAAGCACGGGTTAAGTGCAAATGCGATGGGTATGCAAAAATCGAAAAAATCAATTGTCATATATTCAGTATTTATTAAAACGCACTGCGGTTAGTCCTTAATTGCAACCCGCTGGCTGGCCATGAATGATCCTAGGGGGAGCAAGGAAAAATGTCCTGCCGCTGGGAGCACGCCCTCCGCTGGCGTTTGTTTGTACTCCCCGAAATTGCCAACGCATTAGTTGCACTTGACTGGACGGGCAATAAATAATAAGTACAGACCAAGTCACAATAATAGGTTCAAGACAAAGACAAAGGGATTGAAGAAGGATAAGCATATATCCTTAACCCTTTTATGTATAACTTAAAATTGAAAGCGGAAATATGATTAGAGAACGGAAAGAGTTGAATTTGTAGACAGGAAACACTGAAAAACTAAACTGAATATTTCTAATATTTAATAATATTTAAGTTGCCTTAAATATGCGTATTTTTTGGTGGGAAAATTACCTCTATTCAAAGTATAATTTAAGGGTTAGTTACCCCATTGATTTACCCGCCGCTGTGCGTCTCGCTTTAAGCATAAACAATGGAGGCGTATGCCTTCGATTAATTGATAACCCGTTGCTTAGTTTGCATACTCAATTTGATCGGAATCCTTTTTTTGTTTTTTGTCCTTGCAGAGTCCGCGTGGCATGCAACCGTGTAGTCCAGCGGGAGAAGTCGCAATGATGCCGCCATCGAAGAGTCCCGTGATGGAGAGCGCCGCCTCCGACCAGAATCCGAGTCAGCAGAGTCCGCCGAGTGGCGGTGATCAGAGTGCAGCCAAGCGGGCATGTCCTTTGAAGTTCTCCATAGCCAAGATTATGGAGCCGGATCACAGGCCCACTCAAGCAGCAGCACCACCGCAACAGCCGCCGGTACAGCACCATTCCCAACCCGTGCAGGAGCCTCTGGTTCTCATCCAGGAGGACGAGGACGATGAGGATCCCGATATTGATGCGGATTCGGAACGCTCTTGCAGTCCCATCGAGGTGATCAGCCTGGATCACTCACCCTCCGCCGTTAATTACGATTCCGCCTTCAAGAAGTATGTGCCGGGTGTCTCTACGATGCCCAGTTCCTCGACGGTTGGATCATCGCCATCGAGCACGAGCAGTGCTGCAGTGCAGCAGTTTGTGAGCTCCCGCCACCAGGAGCTGCTCTCCCAATATCCCCTCCTCTACTATGCTCCCAATCAGCTGATGTGTGCCGCAGCTGCTGCCCAATATGCAGCCTTGACCGCTCAGCAGCAATCCCTGGCCAGTGCCGCTCACCTGAGCAGCTTCACTGCCTCCCTGAATGCCACGTTGCATCACTCGCAATCGCTGAGGAGGAACCTGGGACATCCCCTGGCGGCAGCAGCTGCTGCAGCTGCTGTGGCCCAATCCCAGGCAGTGCCCAGTAGCCTGCAACAGAGTCTGGAGAAGTCACCGGTGGCTCAAAGGACATCATCATCATCGAGTCAAACTGCTGGTCTGCAAGGCAACAACCTGAAGAGGAAGCGATCGCCGCAGGATCAGGGTGAGGTGACACCACCACCACCGACTGTGGCAGCAGCTCGATCCCGTTCACGCTCCCCATCCCCCAAGGATCCGTGGAGGATAGCAGTCCGGGATCAGCGAACGGAGGCAAACCCAAGACCTTCTCGTGCCTGGAATGCGGCAAGGTGTTCAATGCTCACTACAATCTCACCCGCCACATGCCCGTCCATACCGGAGCCCGTCCTTTCGTATGCAAAGTGTGCGGCAAGGGATTCCGTCAGGCCTCCACTCTCTGCCGGCACAAGATCATCCACACATCAGAGAAGCCGCACAAGTGTCAGACCTGCGGCAAGGCCTTCAATAGATCCTCCACACTGAACACTCATGCCCGTATCCATGCCGGCTACAAGCCTTTTGTGTGCGAGTACTGTGGCAAGGGATTCCATCAGAAGGGAAACTATAAGAACCACAAGCTCACCCACTCCGGGGAGAAGGCATACAAGTGCAGCATCTGCAACAAGGCCTTCCATCAGATCTACAACCTCACCTTCCACATGCACACGCACAATGACAAGAAACCGTACACCTGCCGGGTGTGCGCCAAAGGATTCTGCCGGAACTTTGACCTGAAGAAGCATATGCGAAAGTTGCATGAGATTGGTGGAGATCTGGATGACCTGGATATGCCGCCATCCTTTGACAGGAGGCGAGAGTATACCCGCCGGGAGCCACTCTCCTCGGGTGGTTATGGTCAGGCCTCGGGTCAACTGACTCCAGACTCCAGTTCTGGCAGTCTTTCGCCGCCCATCAATGTGACCACACCTCCTCTGTCCAGTGGAGAGACGAGTAATCCCGCCTGGCCGCGTTCTACGGGATCTCACTATGCCGCCGGGGGTTTCCATCACCTGGGAGTGGTGGCTCCTCCACAGGATTATCCCAGCTCTGCCTTCCTGCAACTCCAGCCGCAGCAGGCACAGCAGCCACATCCGCAACAGCATCAGCCGCAGCAGCAGCAGCAGCAGCAGAGACTCTCGGAGACCTTCATTGCCAAGGTGTTTTGACAGAGATACTATGCGGACAGCTTGAACAGCTCCACGGCGGCATCGACGACCAGCACCACGGTGACCAATACGACCACATCGGCCACGTCCACATCCTCGGCGCTGGCCAGGAGTGATCTGCTGATAGACTGACTGCAGTTTGTGGCAGCGGCAGCCGCTGCAAGTAACCCGAACTCTGGGCAGGATCTAGGGCTTTCCCGGAAGTCCCCCTCACCGGAAATGGATGTACGGCCCTCGGCAGTGCAGTGAGGGCTCTAAATGGACTCTTCTAAGGAGAAACTCTGCAGGAAGGAGGAACTCTCCAGGACTCCTTTAAAATCTCTTTCCCCGTAAGACCTCAACAGCCACCAAATGGTTTCAACTTGTGCAATACCCACACTCAGCAGATGATGATGATGATGGTGACTCTCTCTCTCCTTCTGTATATAGTATATCCCTAAGACGACCCATGTGTTATCCATAGTCTATGCTCTAATTAAGCTCTCTGAATGTATTAGATTTAGTCACAGGATAATAGCTAGTTAGTCATGAATGTGTATATGTGTAACGCACTCCTCGGGAGTGCGCCATTCTACGTATATAGGAGAAATGTTTATTGGAAATCGAGTCAACCGAAATACATAGATAAATATGTATCTTAGAGTTGTACTAGATATCTCTGTATGTAAGTGTCTGTTTAATCCAACACAAGAATGCATTGAATTTGTTTAGAAACTAAGTGATATTATTGATAATGTTTAAGCAATAAATCAATTCTTCAATTATTAATTGCAAATGTTTATTTAATGGGTGGAAAGGGAAACAAGGTTTTAACCCTTTTTTTTGTTTTAATTTGATAACCTCCCCTTTAACTTATATGCAAATAACTGAGCAACGGTGAGGGCCATGTCATTGAGATTGTCTCCTGTGATCCTTGAGAATGCAAAATTTATGCAAAAAGCGAATGCGAACGAAAACAATTATCGCTGCATTACTCGAGTTGCGTTTAATGGGCTCTAAACTGTCGCCATGTCTGCCGCATGACATTTGCAACTTAATTAGTGGCAACCTGCCCTCCCCTCAACCCATTCCCATTCCCATACTCCGCAGGTGGCAGGTCCTGGCACACGCCAATCATTTGCATAGTCCTTTGATCTGCAGCTTGGGAAAGGACAAGAAATACCCATTGAGTCTGGGGGAGTTTGGGGTTCTGGAAGGATCTCCCCAGGATGCTCATAAAAATGCAATAGAAATTTCCATTTGTCACTCTTGATTTTTCTCTTAATTTGCAGATGTCTTAAAGATGGTTTTTATAATTAATGTAACAAGGAAAGATAAAGGGTGAAATGTGTAATTTAAAGACAAAGAAATATTTGTATTAATTAGTTATATAGTTGAGATTTCCAGGACGCCTTTGTTTCAGAAAGGAATAAATGTTTCTGTGATACTTAAAGTCGAAATACAATTCAACAAAAAATTAAATCAAAACTTAAACAAACATTGATTCTAATATTTACTATTTGACAGTTTATATAAATACTTGATAGGTAAGTACAAATAATTATATTCATACGAATGTCCTGATGTTATCCTTGCTGGCTTTTTGGTTTGATGACAGTGGCCTATTGTAAGGCTTTAATGCCCACGTCAAGGATGACGCATGTGATGCCCACTTGAGTTGACATTTCTCTTTTTTCCTGCATTATTTTCCAATGCCCTCCCCTGTTTTTTACCAGCTATATGAATAATTCAAAAAACATCAAATCGAATCGAATACGAAAAGCGAAATCGAGCAATGCGAAGCGTTTTTATTTTCTTTATGCAAATAATCAGATATCCTTTGCTCAGTGACGTACAGTGGGCCCTCAGCATATGCTCAAGCACACCGCCCACTGACAGGACTTCTGGATCCATTCAAATGACACAGAGAGTCTGAGAAATGGAGGAGTTGTGACCAATTTTCGGATGACTTTTGACACCGACTCGCGGCGTCCTTTTGAACCCGATTCCTATCTGCTCCGAAGGCCAACCCCCAAATTGTGGAATGAATGGTGAATGGTCCTTGAGCCGTTGTCATGTTCCTTTTGATGTTTGCCTTATGCACGCCCAGTCGACCATTCGAGTATCCATCTGGCCCATCCAAATCCCAATCCCAATTCCAATTCCAAACCCACAATCCAAATCCACAATCCCCTTCACTGGCACTGTTGCAAAACTGACTTATTTGGCTAATTGAACGCGGTTGGTCGGCGGTTCCTGATCCCGTCCGGATAAGTCATCACTTTTCCACTTTTCTGCCCGTTTATGCATGACACCTTGATACTCCATTCAATCTGCTATTTTTTGGTCACTCAAATGGATGACATTAATTAAGCTAATTAATGGCTATTGACCAGGCGAAAGTGTGCTTTTTCCTCAGCGACAGGAAGCTGGTAATGAATGGTCCGGTCAGGTAAGAAAAAAGGGAAGAGTGTCAAAGAAAAGCTATGACAATGGAAATTCATTGAGGCGATAGGTTAATTGAAAGCTAATTTGTATTCAGATTCTATTTATTCTATTTGTAAGTAGTACTTAAAATTGACAAACGGTTTTATCATAGGTGTATCTAGTTTTAAAATCAATTAAAAACCACTCTCAGAAAGAAAGCTAATCCCAAAATCAAAATATTTTGCTATGGCAATTTTTGGGGAAATCAAAATTGTGTATATTTCATAACTAAGCCAAAAATGCATTAATTTCAATTCGAAAGGCGGTCTTATGTTGGTTTTAATTAGATTAAAAAATCTGCATACTCATTTAATATTTAAGAAAATGAAAATTTTTGCCAATTTTGACAATTTCAAAATTGTTTTCCAACGAAACATGGCTAGATCGATTCAGATCTTATTCTGATCAATATATATGCGTTCGGAAATGATTATTAGTTTAAGCTCTGACTAAATAAATACCATTCTTATCTTATTTTTTTAAAAATTATAATAAAAAATGTATTAAATTCAATTTTTTTTTTTTTTTTATATTTAATTTAAATGAAAATTTTCTTTTTTTGAAAAATCGAAAAATTTTTGAAAATTTATTTTTCAACCCGACAAGACTAGATCGATTCGGCTGTTGATGCTGATCAATAATATATATGATTTACAGGGTCGGAAATGATTCTTCACGAGTTTTTAACTTATTTCTTGTATTAGAATACGCTCTAAGGATAGGTATAAAAAACGCTTAAATTATATATTTAAATAAATAAACCTTTCATTTCCGTTTCCATATTTTCTCAAATTAACCCCAAAACTATGATTACAATTTCCGCCATATTTGCGGCTCCCCATTTGATATACTTGGAAAAAACTGTTTACCCGCCATAAACAATTTCCGCTGGCGCCATCATTTCAATGAAATAAGCATAATATTTTCATGTTTTGTTTTTCGCATATCAATAACTCTTATCAGCACCACGCCCCTCCAGTATCACTCCTCTCCCCCTCCGAAGGCACAACAACTCGAACACGCAACAAGGGGGTTGGGTGAAAATGTGGAAGAAAAACCTCCAAGCACTCGAGTTCGCGGCAAACAATAAAAAAAAGAGGAGGGGAAAAAATTATAATCCAATTCCATTGTCCGGGGGCGAAAAAAAAAAAAAACTGCAGACAACGACTGCGCTTATCACCTAAAAATGTGGCAGGAACAATAAGGATATGGCAGAAGGATGCATCTCCGGAGGACACCGAGGCGAGCGGGGATGCAAGTCGAGCGTGAATCGCAGCGTAATCTCTTCCGGATATGATTACGCCACCAAGTGCGAGGGATTGTCTCCGGGCTCTGTTGAGTTTCGCTGCTGTGACCTATCAGCTTTGTGTCCCTTGGCATCATCTTTTTTGTATCCATCCTGGCATCCTTGTATCCTTGTGGATGCTGCTCGAGAGAGTTTTGGTTCGCAATCTGCTGTGATTACAATTTCTTAAAAAGCTAAAGCTGCATTTTCCTTTCAATTACGAGGCAGGCACCCTCGCACTCGGCACCTCTTAATGGCCCTATATATGTAGTCTCTATATATATGCACATATATGTAAGTGTATCATCCCCTCGTTCCAACAATGTTCATATAAAAAAAAATAAGAGATACACTTAACCCAAGCTATGTCATTCTGCTCTCGGTAATTGTGGCGTTAATTGTCGACTCCCTGAACTATGACATGATATCCTCCTCCTACTCCTGCGACTCCTTCCCCGCCTCCGCATCGAAAGTGTCCCATGTCAATGGCTCGATGCCATTAGAAAAGAAAAAAATATATATGTATATATAAAATTGAAGCCACGGGGGCTGAAGATTGCGAGCATTATAACATTCTGTATGAGTACTTATAGTTTCCATGTCTTTTATGCGAGCCTCGAGGGTAAGGATGTGCTGGGGTATCCGATACACCGGCAGAAATTGAGCTAGGACCCTATTTAAGATGACAGCGAATGGATATCTATAACACATAAGGATAATCTTTGATAAGCCTCGGGCTTACTGATTAATAAAATATTGGAGAAAGAAGTGGAAAATATGCCTCTGAGGAGTATGTTCTTTACCATATTTATAAATTACAAAATAAGCAAGTAAATAAGTTAAATATATAAATGTTATTAAGAGACAAATATTAAAACAAACATATTTTAAATTAAATAAAATAATCATTATTAGAGACTTCATTTCATTACATTTCGAGTGACTTAACCTAATTAAAAAGTTGCATTAATCTATTTTAACAATCTTATAATCATGGAGAAATAACATGAAAGAAGAATATTGACTTCAAGAAACCAATTTTTATATACCCGTGTAGTTTGTAAATATATCATAACTTAGCCAAAAATGCATTAATTTTAAATCGGAAAGCTGTACTATGCTAGTTTTAATTAGCTTAACAAATCTGCATACTCCAATAATATAAAAATTGGTTTTCAATTTTTGAAAATTTTAACGAGTTAACCCTTACCTTTTTTTGAAAAATTGAAAAAATGTCGAAAATTTTGTTTTCAACCACGCATGGCTAGATCGATTAAGCTCGTTATTCTGATCAATAATATATATGATGTATAGGGTCGGAAACGAGTCCTTCACTTAGTTCTAAGCTTCTGGCTGAAGGTATAATACCATTCTTGGGTCGAAATTTTGCAATATTTTTATATGAAAATTTGTTTTAGGAATCAAATCTTAAAATATCATAACTAAGCCCAAAAAGAATTAATTTCAATTCGGAAGTCATTCCCATGCTAGTTTTTATTAGATTAATAAATCTGCATACTCAATTTAACATTTTAGAATCATAAGATTTTTCCCAAATTTTTGACAATTTTATCGATGTAACCACTTATCATTTTTTAAAAAATCTAAAAAAATTTAAAAATTTTAGTTTTTGTCAGAACATAGCTAGATTGATTCGGCTGTTAATGCTGATCCATAATATATATGATTTAAAGGGCCGGAAATGAATATTTCACTGCCTAGCAAGCTTGTGACTGAAATATTATAACAGCCCTGAAGGCTAATATAAATATAGATAAATCTTATAATAATTATTCAAATATAACAAAATAATTTAAATAATATTAAGTAATTATAAATACTATAAATAATAATGATAAACTTTATTGTAAATATATACAAGTTATGAAATGATAATATTGAAATGATTTAAAACCCACATAATAGTTGACATGAATAAATATTAGATAAATGGCCCTGTAGCTGTGCCAGGACTCTCGTGTCCTTTTCCACCTTTTTATTACATCTGACAAGGGTCAAGGACTTTATCTAGAGCTTTGCGTTAAAAATTCCAGCTTATGTTCCGAACCTTCCTTCGATCCCTTTTCGAGGAAATGCAGCTGACTGGGATCAGATCAAGGGAAGTGGGTGGGATGGCTCAACCCTCGGGGGTTGGCTTTGGTAGTGACAAAGATGATGATGACCCATGTTTCCGGACAGCAGTTGCTCGACTTCCCAGCCAAAGCAAAAGGAGGCGCGAGGCTGGAAAATGATGACAATATGTGGATGTGATGGGATCGGATCGGAGCGATGCTGCCTGCTGCTTGGAAACACATTGAAATGCATTCGAGTCGACGTAACGCGGCTCAATTAGTGCGGTTCAGCGAATGCCAATGCAGCTTCTCCCGCCTGCGTGTCCTGCCTTAGTCCTGCCAGCATTGTCCTGGCTTTACGTCAACTTCTTGCACGCTTATTCACACCTGAGCACAAAACCGCCCCGCAGGTTTTCCCGCCTGAAGAGTCACGAATGCGCCAGCAGCCAGCTTCCGAGGTTTTTCCATGCCGCACTTCCACATTGGCAGCCAGCGAGGCGTCGCTCATTATGTGAAAAGCCACCTCCTAAAGCCATCCAACTTTCCATTAATTAGTCCTGCTTATTGGCAACAAAAAATGTCTTACGAAGTACACACTGAGTTATTAATCAGACTAAGAAATAATAAAAACTATTGACACCATAATGTCTTGTAACTTTATAGAAATGTTAATGCTAGTTCAATGTCTTGATCTCAGTGGGAAAATTATTAAATTTATAGTATAACTTTGGCAAAATGGCTTGTTTCGGAAAACGGAGGGACAGCGACAGGAGAGACAGCGATAGGAGATTGATGATCGAGGATCCGCATGTCCGGCGAAAGTTTATCGTCAAGGTCCTTATGATAGTGGCGGTGAGATATAGCGACTGGATACCGATCACGGATCACGAATCCTAATTCGATTGACAGATCAATTTGCTCTTCACCTCATTGATTGCCTCCATAGTTGTCTTTTATCGGCCGGCAAGAAGATTTTTCAGAAGACACTGGTGGATATTCATACCCGCCTTCTGTGTCTTGACAACAATCCACATTTTGCTCTGCTATTGCCAGCAATTATTTCGCAAGTCACCGATTAAATTTATTCTGTTGGCCATCTATGTCTTGGCCCACACGGTCTTGGTATGCATTATAGTGTCTAGATATCATCCGAAGTTGGTAAGCTCCTCAGTATTCCGTATTCCCTAAAAAACCCTTCTCTTTTGACAGATTTTCATTGCATTTGGCATCTGTACCATCATGGTGATCTTATTGGGTATATTTGCAAAATTTGCTCCATGTGATTTCACAAACTGCTGGATTTTCGTATTTGTAGTATCTGTACTCCTGATGCTACTGGGCCTATTGGCAATATTTTTTAAAATAATGCTGGTGATATATGTCGCTGTCGGTGTATTTGCCTACTCCATGTTCCTTGTGATAGACCTTCAATTGTTAATTGGCGGCAAAACGCATCGAAATGAGTACGATGAGGAGGACTATATAATAGCCGCATTGCAGATCTATCATGATATCATAGAACTCTTTAAAATGCTACTTATCTGTATGGGTCTACTAGACATATAAATTAAGAGGTACTTTTGATTGGAAACTAAATCTAATTTTGTAAAATTTAACTAGTAAAAATATATATGTGATAAATATACAAGTTTTTCTGGAGCTGCTGAGTTGTTCTTCAAGGCCTGCCTTTTGTATTTGAGGTGGAACGTTACCACAAGACAGATAGTATCTTCTATTTATCTTAATGATAATTTATAGAGATTTATATATTAGTTCTTAATTAACGTACAAATTATAGGTATCCTAATAAAGTAAAACTAAAAACTATATTAGAACTAAAGAAATGTGGAAAACACTTTGACTTTGAAATACTAATACCTGAATCTCTATACATTTTAAAGATCATCAAATATATTTTGTTTATCGAAGTAATGCCTGTTTCAACAGTCAACTTACAATCATCTCAGTCTCCCCTTTGAAATCTATTCTATTCAAATATAAATATTCTATTTTGTATAAAATTAAATCAACAACTTAACGTTTTAAATATCCTTACAAAATGTGCGAAGTACAGAATATGCTGGATGGCCTGTGCCAAATGTTTAGAGATGCCAAGGAGCGTCGTCATCTGGGAATGATAGGAATTCTAGAAAAGGTACGATGCTGTGAGTGTGGTCATCAGAAGCGTTTGGAAAATGTGCGGAAGTGTCAGGCTTTATTATGCGAAAAGACAGAAACATCTACAATCACAGTTCGGGGAATGCTGATTGCCTGCTTTGTCCTGATAGTCCTACTCTGCGTATACTTAATATATGTGGCACGGCGGTACAATCATGTGCGTGCCTATGGATCCAATGCCTGCGGATCCTTCTTGTTCTATAGCTTCAACGATTGTGAAGTGATTTGTTAAAGAGCTTAATTTAGCCATTATGTTTTACTATATATATTTGTTATATTGTTAAAATTAAAGAGCTTCCTTTGCACAATCAATTCTTAATTTTTATTCATAACTATTACTGAGATACACAGCCAGGTGATGATGGTTGCTGGGCGTGTCTGGCGGCTATTGAGCACCTTTCCTGCTCAACTTTTTCACCCGCTTTCATGATTGGGCGCTGCCATAAATTATGCATAAAGCATAAATGCCAGAAAGAGACCAAGTTATATGCGGAGGAGGTGGCACTGTGTGTGTTTCCATTTCAGGGTGAGTCCATCATCATCGAACGAAAGCATGGCCATTCCGTTTTATTGGGTTATTGAGTGGTATGGACGGTAGCAGGACCTTTTCCCTTCCTCTCACACACACACACACACACACACACACTCCCGGAGTGTTGGCCTAGCTCAATATTGACACAAGTTAATTGAAGCCCGACGGCTGCCAAAAGTATCAATGGAGTTCGCCGCATCCCTTAGGTTGTGGGGTCAGCGCTGAATTGAACAACCGACGCGTCGCCTGCTCACATTGTGAAATCCGGGAGGAGAGGTCAAGGGATGTGGAGCTCCATTGTGGGTGTGGGGAAGAGTGGAGTGGACCTTACAGGACTTTTGTTGAAGGTCTTTCTGGTTGTATTTGATAAGAAACCAGAGTTAGCAAAAGGGTTACTACTAATTTTAAGTCGATGAACTTATGGGAAAAGAAATTCAAATATTCAATTACTTTCTTGATATCACATAATCTTATTATGCCTATTTAACGCTTTGCCTTAAATGTACAAGCAAGAAAGGAGCAGGTTATAAAATTTAATTAGCAGAAAATGGGAGAGCTTCTATCTAAAATGACAAAGAGACCTTTAAGGGATCTCTGAAATATAAAAACCACTGCAAATATTTCAGAAAATAAAACGAGATCCTCAAAATCCTACAAATGAGAACAAAATCGACACTGATCTCATTTATAATTTCGTGATTAATTTAAATTATAAATCTGTATTTGTATTTTTCCAGTGGTCTTGGTACTTGGTCAATCGAAGTATTTGTATTTTTCCTTGTATCATATTTTATAGATCTACAAAATCCCTGTAATTTACTCTCCGGATTTAAGTATATCAAAGTCCACCCTTATGCAGGCAGTTTACAACAATTTGCAGGGTGGTAAAATAATTCCTGGCCAACAAAGGTGAGTCTCAGATGTGTGTGACCTCGTGGCGATTACAAACACCTGCTGGGCCAGTCATCTCTCTTTAATAACCTGTATTAGAAACCCGATTGCCAGGGTAATTTTAAACGATCCGTAATTGATGCTTTTCAAAAGAATTTTTCATAAAACTTCACCGTTTCTTTTTTGTCCGATAAACTTTGATTTATGTTTTATTATAAGGCTTTCAATAGAGTTCTTAAAATGTTACACAATTCCTGCCAGAGTTAGTTGTATTAGTCGTATGTGTACGCAGATATTATTTGGTTCTGGATGGGATTGCCCATCCTATATAGGTGAATCCTGGGGCCATATGTCGGTTGCATACGGCAAGATCTCATTGGAATTTAAAGTGTTGGAACCTCCTCAAGCTTGGCTGTCAAATTAATGAACAAATAATTAGTACCAAGCCCAAAGGAGTCTCACGTTTTAGTTGTGACTGTTATCAGAATGGGCTTGATGAAGACAAAAAGTTAAGAATTAAAAACGTGGTTTAATGTTTTTCAAAAATTATGCATTATGTATTATTATTTTCGCTTTGAATTAGTTTGTTTTCTTTTTTTTTTGTTGTTTTTTCTTTTGGTTGTTTAGTTTAGTTTTGAGTTTAGATAGCATAATTAATCATAAGTGTTGGTTTTCTCCTATTTGAAGTTAATTTTAATACATTTCGTTTAGTTGTAAATTATTGTAAAGTAAATTTTAGGACTAATTCAAGTTCATATCTAGATTTATATATATGTATATGTATATGTATAGGTAGTGTTATAATTGTTGTAAATACAATCGAATAATTAACTAATAGAGAATTTATTACAGAGAACAGTGTGTGTTTGGAAATCTTTCAAATTGTTTCTCACTCGCAGATGAAAAATCCAATACATTTCATAAGCATTTCTCTGATCATAATTTGTGGCATAAGTGATAATGTGAGAGTAGGCATACATACATAGTATTTTTGGATATAAATTGGAATTTTGGAATATTCAAATTTGACACAACATTCTCTTGTTCTTCTTCTCCTTTGTCTTTTACAATCTCAAATAGAATTCAAACAAAAGGCGAAGATAGAGAAATAAACAAAAATTACACAAAGTAGGCATATGGACTAAGCGCACTTTATAACAATTCGCTTGGATATTCCGTTTCATCATCGCTTCGCCTTAAACTCAAATAACACTTAACACGTACAAAAAACGGCTTATTAAACTTAACATTTACAGAATTTAATTCAAGCTAAACACGCATTTTATTGCCATATAAATTAAATGTTAAAAGAAATGCAACACGCACACGACACAAAAATGTATATATATATAAACGAAACAGCAAAAAATCTTAGGGACTTATTACTAAAACAAAAAAAATGTACATTAGCTGTGAATGTTTAATTAATTACAAATTAGTTATTGGTTGCTTCCTTGATTCCTCAGCGTGTGTGTGTCTGTGTGTGTTTCGTTAAATAAATAGGTGTTGGTGTTGGTTAGTCGTCCCCGCATTTAGTCATTTAGTCTATCCTAAAGCTCTACACACTAGGAGTTATTCTCACAGTCATCGGGTTTGTGCTTCGTGCGTAAATTGCTCAAAAGATCGGCACAGTTATTGACCATCATCAGATAGTCTCCATTGTCAGCGCTCAGCTGATCGTGGTTTAGTCCACCCCCAGTATTTCCCATTCCCATTCCCGGTCCAACTCCGGATCCGACTCCATTGTTTGTCTTTTCTGCTTGTCTGGAAATATATAAAAATTAAATTTTTGGTGAGTAAAAGGTTTAATGGAATATGCTTGTTTAAGAGTAGAAGTTTCTATTAAATCGAATTTAGATATTTATATATTAATAGTTAATTCATAGATGTATATGATATTATTTATTATAATTAAACTTAATTTGAGGCTGACCTATAATTCTTAAGCCTAAAAATGGATTAAAATCTACATATATAAATACACAAATACGACAAATTAGATATATATTATTTAGGATTGCAAAATATATGCGCGGTAAGTCTATATTCTGTTTGAAATACTGATCCTATGTAATCGCAACAAAGGCAATTAAATTATTAATAGTTTTCAAATTTTATACCCTTTATGGTGTTATTATTGTATTCAGATGATAAAACTTAGGGAAGAAATCATTTCCGACCCTATAAATCATATATATTATTGATTCGCACAAAAAGCTGATTCGATCTTGATAAATCCGCACAAAAAATAAATTTTTGAAAAATTGTCAATATTTTTCAAAAACGATAAGGGTCACATCATCAAATTGACAAAAAGTTAATTTTTTATTTATTTTAAATTGAGTATGCAGATTTATTAGCCTAATAAAAACTAGCATACGACTAGTTTCCAAATAAAAATTAATGATTTTTTGGCTAAATTATGATCAATTCCAAATTGGAGAAACTAAGCCAATGGGAAACTGCAAGGGTATAAAAACTTTGGCTTCCCAGAGTTAGTCTTCTTTCAATTTTTCGATGATGTCAATATTTTTATGTCAGTTTTTTTATATTTACAATTTCGCGATATCAAAGTTTACTATATTTCGATATAATATTAATTTTTCCTGGTAAATAGGTTCATACTCTTCCCCAAAGTTAATCCCTACCGATTTGTGGTGATGCTGCTTAGCATATTCCTGGACATGATCAAAGCATTCTCTAATTCCTTCAGTAGCAGTGAGTTCTTTAGATTCGCATGCAGCTGCATGGCTGCCTGTGTTGTCGTATATAATTTGTTAATCACATTGTGCACTTGGGCTTCGGCTGTAATATAAATAATATTGATTATCTCCTAGTTTTAAATATATTCTCTCAAAGTTTCTTACGATCTGTTCCCTCATATTCCTCCATGGAAGTCACACCGCTCCTCTGTTTGTTGGCATTACCAATGGGGCTGCCAAGCAGCTTGCTCTTGTGATCAAAGCCCAGATTCCTTGGTCTTGGTGGCACAATTGGCTTATTGTTGACCGTATTATTGGGCGTCTCCTCAGAGCTAGAGTCGTCCTGCATTTGTGGTGTGGCTGAATGTGAATGAAATAATCAAGGATTAGTTGGATATTCTAGTTTAACTAGGATTAAATACTATCTTAGGTCTTATAATGTGCATTTGGTTATTATAAGTTCTTTGTTTTTACTCACCACTGCTAAAGTTTGGCGTCTTGCGACGATTGTTATTGGCGTTATTAATCTTGTTGTTGTACTGACGATTGGCAGCTGCAGGTTATATGGAATACAAATATTTATAATATTGTTTATAACAAAAGTTTGTAGTTTATATTTACCTATAGGTCCATTACTACGACCCTGTCCATTGCTGGCACTGCGCAAACGATTGCTGTCCTCGGGCTCTGAGTCGCTCTGCAAGAAATAATTCATTAAAATCTAATTTATAGATTGTTTTCTTTTTAGTTTATTGTTTCCTTTAACTTACACCCTGATTGAGTACATTCATGGAGTTGCTGGAGGCACCCAATCCTGTCTTGCCCTGCAGACTATTCCTCTTGCTGGCTGATCGTGAGATGTTGCCATTTCGGTGCTGAACCTGAGGCTTTTGTGGCGTGCCTCCACTTGATTTTCCAGCTACAAGAAAATATATATTTATAAATTAAATAATTAATATTATCTCTATAATATATTATAAATTATAATCGAGGGTGCTTACGCTTGCCAAAGTTGCCCATGTGCAGGTCACTCAGCGAGCAGGCGCGGCGTATGGATGACTCCTCGATGGGCATGGGATTAATCGTTTTGGGATTGCCTGAAAATTGGGTCACAGATTAGTTTTTCGGTTTTGGGTCGTGCAGTTATGGTTATTATTCTCAGTGTTCGGTATGGAGAGTGGGGGCAAAAGGGTACAAAATAATAACTAACTAGTAAGTAACTGAACTGTGGGAGTGCGCAAATGAAGGTTGCGGAGAAAATCAAGAGGCACAACATCAACAACCAAGGCGAAAATGGGCTCAAACCTGGCTCCATCCTTAAAACAACAGTTGATGGTCCTTTGTCCTCGCTTTCGGCAGCTGGAATTTCAGGTTCATCACGTCCCTCATCATCGGCTCGCACTTCTTTGGCCAATTCCACATCCTGACTGCTATAGATTCCGGTAAAATCCGTGCTTTCTAGGACATCTGGTAAACTGCAATTTCTTCGCATATTCCTGGCATAGGCACACAGATCAGAGGCATCTTTGGAGGTCAGGTCCTCATCCTCGGCAGGTTCTTCTCCACGGGCCAGCATATCGAAATTCATGGTCAAACTCTTCACATAACCCTTCTCCTTGGCATTGCAATTGAAGGGTCGCAGACGTGATTCGGTGGCCAAACGTATTTGTTCCATTTTACGTTCTTCCATTTCAATTAACTTTCGATAATATCAATCTTTTTGGCTATATTCTGGCATTGGTGACTGGTGGATCCACCTTTTCCACTGATTCTACCTGCATTGTCCAGGTTTTTCCGGTACTTTTCACGCTCCTGCTGGATTTCATCGACCACCGCCTGGAGCTGAGGCTTCGTGTAGAGCTTGAGAGTTTGCATATTCTCTAAATTCTCGGGAGCATTTCCATTCTCCGCGAAATACATTTCAAAACTACGCTCCCCGTAGTCACTGGGCAGGCTTCCTACCTCCAGTTCTGGTGGAGATTCCTCCTCCTCCTCTGCCTCTCTGGCCTGACGCTGCCTCTCCCTCTTGGCACTGGGCGTATACTTGATTTGGGAGACAGTATTGAAACGCACAGAGATCTTTGGCCTGTTCTTTTGCCTCACACTTGTGGCACGACGACTGCTTTCACTGGTATCGAAACGTGAGACCTTCTTGAGGCAACTCTGGGTGCCAGTGCCTGTACCGGATCCTCCTCCGGCCAGAGCTCCACTGCTCACTGAACTCCTCATTGCCGTTGGTCTCCTTTGCTGATGATCTCGTTCCCTTTGCTTCTCCTTCTCGAATTTCTGCAAATTATGCTCAAATTGTCGGACAACACTGGCCGTTCGGGATTGAGATTTCTGTTGCTCCTTCTGCTGCTGCTGCTTCTGTTGCTTTTCCATGTGGCTCAAGGTGCTCACCAGATTCTGGGGTTTCGCTGGAACCGGTGGCTTGGGTTTGAGGGGTTTCCTCACAAACATCATGTTGTTGTCACCCGATTGCATGGGATTCGAGTTCCTTTGCTGTCGTTGTTGTGCGAAATCCGTACTCAACGATTTGTTAACACCTGAGTTATATTGCTTATTCTTCGATCGCAAAGTGGGTATATTTTCGGAGGCCTGAACCTGAGCTATTCTGGGATAGGTCTTTGAGCTGGGCAGTGGCTTCAGAGGCTCTAGGTTGTAGCCAGTGACATCGAAGCTATCCGTGGCAGTGGTCGTTGCATGATGCTGCTGTCGCATATAGTAATCAAAACTGCCATAGGCATTCGGACTATTCCCATACGACTTTGACACTGGCCCATGGATGATAAAGTTCCGGATGCCAGCGTGTCGTTGCTGGAGTACCTGAGTCACCGCCGTTTGGGGATACTCAAGCGGAGCACTCTGGCAATCACTCTCGTCGGAGAGAACACTCTCCAGACTGTTGCAATAACTACCAGCTCCATCGCCATCGGAGAGTAGGGACAGGGACTCCTGACTCTGTTGTCCAGTGAGGAAAAAGCTGGCACTGGAATGGCGTTGCGTCTCCAGGAATCTTGCCTCATCCAATCTCCTCTGGCTTGCCGCAAATTGTTCTGGTTGCAATATATCCGAAAGAGAGACCTTTCGCTCACATTGATAGAACTCCCTGTAAACATAATACTGAGTTGTCCTGCCAGTTGGCGTGGAATCACCTGTGGAGCCCAGGCCACCCAATCCCCTGAGGTTCGCTGGCATGGAATAGGAAGCCGGTATGCTGCAGGGCTCATCGAGATCTCCATACTTTCTGGTTATTTCATCTATCATCTTTTCCGTATCCGCATGGATCATGTCCAAAATGGTTCTGGCATCATCAGCATAAACGGAATGCCTCTTGGTTTCACCCAGAAGGCAACCTCTTTCATTGCCCTCGGCGGACCACTCCACCTCCTCGTGCACCGGCGACACTGGACAGGATTTGTAGTGCTTTAAGATACTAGGAGTACGTCTATTATTTCCAGCAGGATTCCTTTTCACTCGCTGCTGTCGTTGCTGCTGATGCTGCTGCTGGTTTTGGTGCTGCTGCTGTTGATGATGATGTTGCTGGCGATGCTGCATTGCAGATGAGGAGCCAGCAAAGGGTACCCCAGGCGGTGGATGTATCTGATGGACACCCACATGATGGGGATAGGGAGGATAATGCTGTTGAACCTGTCGCATTGTCTGGAAGTTTTGTTGCAACTTGGATTTGGGGGCAGCACAATTGAAAAATTGCTGAGATGCGGCAGCGGGAATGTATTGCTGATGTGGCAGCTGCTGTTGATGTTGCTCCTTAGCCGGCTGCTGTTGCTGCTGCTGCTGATGTGGATTTGGAGTTGCTGAAGCAGCAACTGCTGCTGTCGTTGTTGGATTTTGGGTACTAATATACTGCAAAGTGTCATGGGAAGCAACTAATGGGGTTAGTCAAAAGTTAACATTTTTTAAAGGGGAATAAAATTCATCAATACACCGTGTTTTCATTACAATTTTGTTCGCAGCACAAAAATAGGAGAGAGCAGTATTCAAAAAGATATAGACAATAGAGAGAAAGAGCAAACAACGGGAGAGAGAGAGAGTTACATTAGCCTACGTGGTCCAACTTGGTTAAGGGATTTATACAGTTGGTCTCGGGACTCTTAAGGATCCCTACATCTTCATTATCTCTCACCTGGCTTGGTATAACGTCCTGGACCACCGCCACCCGAGCTCCTTGAGCCATCCAAATTGGCAGCCAGACTTAGGTCCGATATGCTATGGCTTCCCCGAAGGGGTCTATGGCCTACCTGTTGATTGAAAACATATAATTTGATTAATTATATTGTTCTTATTTTAGAATTGTATATTTTGTTAAATTTTTAAGTTAGTTTAAAAGCACTGTTTATTTTTAAGTTAGTGCATAATAAATAACATGGGTAGATTATACTGCCTTTGAAAATTATAAAGTAATATTGAATTAATTATGAAGACGATAAAAAGGATTAGAAAATGTTTTCTAGAAATCATTCATTTAAGAAAACCATGAAAATTAATGAGCATGTGGTTTTGCCACTTATTAATAAGACTTTAAAAAATTATGGAGTTAAAATTTAATGTTAAATTTAAAAACAAAGCAAATTGGTATGTTCGCTTGAACCTTGATGAAATAAAATTTAAATATTAATCCGCTGAATAGAATGAAATAGAGAATATTATTATTAATTATCAAGGAAATCAATATTATTATTTCCTTGATTGTTATTAATTCTCAAGGAAAAACAATACAACATTTTATGGAATTTAAAAAATGTTATACAATCATGAAAATTAAGGGAGTTTTAATGCTTAAAATTTAAATTGAATGTTTAATTTGAGCTCATTTAAAAGAGTTGAATCAAATATCTATTACATTTCTTTATTAAATATATAATGGTTGTAGGAGCGTTGTTTTTTATTTTTAATATAATAAATCTATTAATTTCAATGTATTGTATTTATTTAAGAGCTAAAGTCAATCTTTGGTTGTTTGAGTGAACTGAATGGAATGAGTGTTACTAGTTTGAGTGGTTTTTCTGGCTGCTCAGCTGGTTTGAGTGGAAGTGGTTTAGTGGGAAGCAACATCTTTGAATGACTCGAAGCTTATCTGACTAAGCAAGTTTTTTCTTTAGTCGCTGCTAGTTTTGGGTTATTTTTAGACACAGCTGATATTTGGGATAAGTAAGTGTGTGTGGATATGACAGAAGATGTGTGGCAAGTTGGGATTTGGTTTGGGTTACTCCACCAAGCATCGGTGGTTCAGTGGTAGAATGCTCGCCTGCCACGCGGGCGGCCCGGGTTCGATTCCCGGCCGATGCAAAATTATTTTTTCTCTTTTTACTTTTTACTTTAAGAGCATTTAAAATATTTATAAACATTAATTTACGCAAGAGTTATGAAATTATTATTATGCTGTGAGTTTTTCTTTTAATTACATTCACTTTTTAGGCATTTGAATTGAAGTAAATGTAGGAATTGATATTGAATTGGTTACTTTAGTTAATTTCAAGATCAGAAATATCAATTTAAAATTATATAAGGCTAGTATTTGTAATTCAGATGGTTAGTTTGTAAAGCTTTATGTACAATTCAGAAGAAGCGTCCTTATAAAACTGAACAACAGTCCTTTAATATAGGCTCACCTCGACTATAGCATTCAACCTTTGGTTGCCAGTTTTGCGGGTACCCTAAACACACACAACCACACACACACATTGAGGGCAAAGATTTAATTTGTATTTTTTTTCGTTTTTAGGGTGCATGTGTTGGGTGGGGTTTTGTTTTGGGAGGAAGTTGGACACAGACCAGACACCGAAAAACAAATAATGGGGACACACATAAAAATACAGAAAAAGAACAACAAAAAAGAAAGAGTATAAATTAAAATGGAGGAACATAAAACTGGGAGTAAAACGGAAATCCGTTGAAATACCAAAGAAAAAAAAAACAGTAAAGTAAAAGACCTTGACCCCCACTTACATTCTCCAGCTGCTGCTTGACCTTGTTGATGACCTGCAGCAGTTCCTCCTTCTTGGTGCTCGTATACGATTTGGTAATTGTGGGCGGTGCCGCCACACTCTTTCCATTCTCCGTGTTGTGCTTGGCACTGATGCTGCGTCGACCTTGGGAAAGAGTACAAGTCAAGTGATTCTGTATATATATATAGATAGAGAGTTGCTATTGAAATCTTACTGCTTGTGCCCCTTTCCATGGGCGAGGTTAATCCCGGTCCCTCTGGCAGAGCAGCATGCAGGAAGCTATTGTTGCTCTGTGGCAGATTTTCCGAGCTACCGCCCAGCGTGGAGGCCAGTGAACGTTCGGCATTTTCGGCACTGGGCGTGGAGCCTTCGTCCTCGGTGTCTGAGGTTCCAGTTCCGGTTCCGGTGCTTGCCGTATGCGAACTGCCATTTCCGCTAAGACCCGAGGTGGCCAGCTGAAGGCCTGACTTTTCGAACTTTGATCGGCGCATTGATTTGCGCAACTCCTCCTCATTCATGGCCGTCACCTTGAAGTCTCTGTGGGGATTAGAGTTTAAATTAATATATTTATAACTTGATTTAATTATCTATTTGTTTCCTGGTACTCACGTTGGCGTGCTGGGTGCCAGGTTATTGTAGAACATGCCATGATCTGAGCTTGTTCTCTCTCCATCTGAGATGTCTTCCACATCGCCATCATGATCATGGGTTTGGGTATCAAAGCGCAGGCCTGGCTTACTCCGTTTATCCGGCAACTGGAGTCTCTGCTGCTGCTGCTGCTGTTGCTGCTGACCAGACCCACCGGATCCAGCTGTAATGGCACCATTGGTGGCAGACACAGCCAACGAGGAAACGGAGGACACTGTGACTACGGTTCCATTGTTGCTGCTGCCAATAAACTTGAGTTCGCCCCTTCGGGTCTCCATTCCGGAATCAATGGAGGAGTCCTCACTCAAGTAGGTTTGATTATACATAATGTCCTTGGAGGAGGCACTGTTATAATCAGATGTCTGGACATTTACGCCACTATGACCACCCACCGAGGAAACCGTGCCCAGGGGGCTCTCCGAATTGGATCGAAGGTCATCGGCGGTTTCCAACTGACTGCTACGCTGGGACCATCTCCCACGGGGTCTGGGTGCCATTCCCGAGAGCTGTTGACTCGGTGAAGAGCTTAGATTGCCCATTGAGGAGGCAGCCTGTAGGGCAGCCGGCAAATGGGATCCAACCCACCTCCTGCGCTGGGTGTGGGTATGGATAGAGCGCCGCTATCCGAGTCTCCAGCTGCCTTTCTCATCGCCCACTGTGGCAGTTGACCCACGTCCGAGAAGCGCTCGGTTACCCCGAACTTGGGTTGCTCCATTTCACTGGTCGGTGATTCAATGACTATGCCGTCCTGTGGCGAAAGCGGAGCCAGTGGACGGGGCAACGGAGCATGACCCGATCGGAGACGCTGCTGTGACATCCGTGCCTGCATGGTCACAATCATATCGTGGGGCACCTGCCAAATGAAGATGCAGCCATCGCCACTCGCCGATATCAAGTGCCTGCAGTCGTTGGTGAATTTCAGACCCGTGACTAGCTCACTGTGTCCATACATCCTTGCCATGCACTCGCTGGAGTAGTAATCGTAGACAGCCAGGGTCTTATCCGTGCAAGAGGTGGCCACATAGATGCCACTGGGATCCAGACTGAGTTTGATCAGACTGCCCTCATCCGAGTGCGAACCCTTGAAGGTTTTTGTCTGCTTGGCATTCTGAGTGCCATAGACGCGCACATTGCGATCCTGGCAAGCGGTCAGAATGTGCTTGGAATTCGAGTCTACTTCCATGTCGTAGAGGGTTGTCTTCCCAGAGGTGTTGGTACCCCGCATGAAGATGTTACCCTGTTGGGAGGAGATACGTTTAATTATTTATTTGAATATAAATCAGTATACAACCAGGCACTCACCTGAAAACTCCTAAACATAATTGACTTGTCAGCACCGCAGCTTATCATCTGGAAATTGAGTCCGGCGCCCACAAACTTAATGGAGGTAATCGAGGAGCTGTGATCGTCTAGCGTCTGCAGCAGCAGGTAATTCTGGGCCACATCAAAGACATGGATAAGGCGATCCCTACTAGCACTGGCCAGCAGCTTTCTCTCGATCTTGTCATTGGAATATTCCAGGCACAGCACCTCCGACTCATGGGCTTCAATGGTGGTCAGCAGGCGCAGGTTAACCAGATTATATACCCGAATATTCCACACCTATCTCCACTGGCCAAGTGCTGTAGCTCTGGACTGATTTTGATGCAACGCACACCATTCCTGCCATCATAAGAGGAATTCCCTGCCTTATCAAACAACGATGAACCCTGATCCTTGATGAACTGCAACTCCTCATCGCTGTAAACGATCTTTAGCAGCTCTTGGAGTAAATGTTCTTCCGGTAAATATCATTATTGGTACACCCATCCAGACCCCAAACACGAATCGTATCGTCCGAGGAGCAGGTGACAAAGCACTCCTCCGGCAGTGTTTGCGATGGCTCCCGCTCCACATTATATGGCACAGTCTCCACGCCCCAAATGCACGTGGAGTGATAGAGGAACGAGTGCGATTTGCCCACACGTGAGATATCACGAAGATCCCAAATATACAGCGAATGATCGTTGTAAACGCAGCTCACCTGGTGGAAAATACAAAACAATTAGTATTTGAATAAGAACTTTGCTACTACAAGACCTCCTCACCTTGGATCGCTGCTCGTCAAACACCATGGCGATGCAATCGGGAAACTTGGCCTGCTGTGGCACCGACATAATATGGTTTATTTGGATGCCCTGGGCCACATCCACGCCCAAGTAGTGGGTGCGTGGCAACGTGGTCACGTACTCCAGCGTCTCGGCGTTGAAGATGCGGATAATGGACTCGGCACAGCCGACGAGTATGAAGCGCTCGTTGACGCAAATACAGTTGGCATTGGTGGTGCGGCACTGCACCCACTTGTCCAGCAGGCGGCGTGAACTGAACTCCACCAGATGGCCTTGCCGCGTTATGGCATACGTGCTCTCCGCACACACACCCTTGCCACAGGCCACCGCACAGAAGTCGTTGTCCCGCAAATCACCCAAAATGGCGCTGCGTCCCATCAAGGGAATGGGATCCTTGTACTGCAAAATAGAGGAATGAGTTTAACCATTAGCCATGACCTTTACATGAAAGTAATTCATAAAATATGCAAGAGAGTAAAGAGTTCTTTGCATTTCAAATCGGGAAATCTTTAACATTTTCCTTCCTCTTTTCCCTCTTAATTAATACAGTATCAAGTACGGACTTACCTTTCTGCCTCCTTCCAAATACCAGTATTTAACATGACGATTACCCACGGTCACAAAGTAACCACCATCTTCGGAGAAACATACTGCTGCCACCTTGGAGCTAATCTTATTCGAGGCCATCTTAAGGTTGGCCCGCCAATCAAACACATTGACAATCATGTCATGCTGCGAGCCCACCGATACCAGGTACTTGCCCGTGGGCGAAAAGGCCTGCAATTGAATTAATATTCATTTAATAAAGGGATATTTAAGGTGTTTTTGTTAGCAAGGACTCACCACACAGGTGACGGCATATTTGTGATCCACAAATTCAGCCACCACACTGCCACCGCTGCAGTGCTCCAGTGCTCCATTTGGGGTCTCCAGCTCCCAGACCTTGATGGCCGGATTTATGCCACATTCCCCGGTGGCCACATATCGCCCGCAGCGTGAAAAGGCCACGGATGTGAATGCTTTGCGGGAGGTGTTGACCAGGTAGGCCTGTGTCTGGCGCTTGGCATTGAATAGCACCACGGTGCAGCTGCAAAAATTACAAAAAAATAAATATATATAAATAAAAGTTAAGGAATATATTTTCAAGTATGAGAAGTTAAAAATTAATTTAAAGTATAAGAAATATACATTTTTTGGGCTTAATTCTAACTCATTTGAAAGTTTAAATGTAATATATAAATGATTTAATAGATGTATAATTGGTTATGTTTCTAGTTCATTAGAATCATTGATCTTGATTTCTATTTAAAATCTCTCTTTAACTTTCTGACAATTTGGCCTTGAACCTTATAAAAAAAAGTATTTAATTTATTATTATATTTCCAAGTACGTAAAATTCCTGCAATTTATCTTGACCTTTCAATATGACATTAAACTTTTTCAGTCAATATTAATAAAAGCACCTTATTAACGTAATTTTAAACCACTGTTAAAATATCAATCAATGGAGATATTAAAATATAATTACTAATTTGCATGCTGCATGGATTTTTTACTCAATGTCATCGGTAAAATGATATATTAAGAATCAGAAAATCAATAAAGAAAAAGGAAACAAAAGCCATAAATGATTAAAAAGCACAACTGTTATTGCTTAGCCAGATGTTGGTATTAAAAGTAATTTGTTATTGTATTTCTTTTTTTGATATCAAAGAATATCTGGTTTCTGTGATGATTCAATGCCAAGTTATAAACAATTCTGAGAATGAACTTTTAATCTAAGAATACAAAAGAGGTTTAATCGAAAGACAAAATATGGTAGTTTAATAATTTTACTGACTAAGGAAATTGTGAAGAAATAAACATAAATAAATCTATAACATTTTATATTGATTCTAGTTGTTTAAAATGAAATTTATATTATTTTAATTCTTTAGTTATGTTAATAAGTATCTTAATAAAGTATGTCTTCTTTTTTCCCCTATGTGCATTTTTCATGTTTAAATCATTGAAATATCTTTGTATGCAGGACTTTTTATGTAACCTCTTTTAATGGGGCTTAACTTTCAGTCACGATTCCCCAAATTAATTGTCCATCTTTATCTATAAAACCAAGCACGTTAACAGTTTTATTTCCGCCCAATCCATTGCATTTATCTGCTTCCTGTTCCCCACATTTAAAGTCGTCCTTGACCAAGACAGGCAGTAAAGGCATTCTCCGTTTGCTTTTGCATTTAAAATGCCCAAGGATGTAGGTCCTGCCCAGTTCACATCGTTTCCATTTCGTTTTACTTTTCCGACCCGCCACCTTCAACCAGTAGATCCTGGCACCGTTTAACCCTCTGATGCCAGAAGCTAACTGCCTGCCCAGCTTAATAATGAGCTCCTGTTTGGCCGCCTCCTTCCCGGTTTTATTTTTCAGTTGTTTGCCACTGTTGCTCGGTTAATGAGAGCATCACGCCCACATCTTTTACCTATACACTATCAAAAGGGGTATAGAGGAATTTTAATAGAGGTAAACTATCCTTTCCTTTCAAAATTGAGCAAAGGAAAAACCTCTTGAAATAAGTAGTAAATTAAATCGATTTATAATAATGGCGGAAAGAAGTTTCTTACATAAAAAGTTTAAATCTTCAATTAAAGTGCATTTAAAGCTCATTATCAAGCTTGAAAAATATTCCCACCAGCATTTGCTATTTATTCATGCCAACAAATGGCCCTATGCACACACATGTGTGTGAGCCAAGAATAAAAATATACAAAAAAAGAAAACTTTTGCAATGCAATGCAAGCGTAAATATGCACTTTCTGTTAATGCACATAATTAGTAGAGTTCCTCAGCTTAATTCGCTTTAATTGAAATGTTGTGAGTACAAAGAAACAGGATTTAAAAAAGGATAAAGTGAACTTTTGGCAAAAAGTTAATTGCCCTGGTTTTGGTACTTATCAAGCATCAATGGAGATACTCATTTCCTTTACTGTCATTGATAATAATAATTATTAAGCTTATTACGTATACGCCATTGTGTGCCAAGTAAATATTCAGTGGCATATATGCAAATCCTCGGCACTTGCATTGGACATTAAATGTGCAAGTTGCTGACATTATGTCACACATTTTTCCACTACCACTTTCCCCTCTCTCTCTCAGCTGTCACGAATTTTCCAGTCATATTTCTGGCAACGAGATGGAAAAACTCAGCCATGTGTGACAGTTGAGAAGAGATTTAATCAACGGATTTTCATTGCGAATTATATTTCGAGGGCAGGCTTAAAGCTGAACAAATTTAAGGGAAATGGGCTGCCACAAAATGATTTCCTTTCCTCAACTTGGGTTGATATATAACCCAGATTTATATAGTATATATACTAGAATAGTATGTGAAACTTACCCAGCTGGATATGCCAGCAGGCCGCTGACTGGGGACACATCCAAAGCCGCATTGCTGCACACAGTCAGGCCCAGGACTTTTTTGAGTTTTATCTGTAAGCAAAAAGAGAACATCATGCCATTAGATATTACATCATGTTAGCTTAGTTCGTGTTTTTTTCCAGCAAGGCCATCCATCGCTTATAATATTTGCCTAAAAAAATAAAAATGAAAACTAAACGAAGACAACTTGCTGTGTAATTGTTAACGCACACAATTCGCACATTTATCATGTCGTTGCCGTATGTTTACACATGAAGCCCAACCTTTTGCGATTTACATAAACATAAACAAAAACAGAAATTGCCTCAACATGTTAACATGATTTTCCCAATGATTGCTATACGTTTTTCATTTATGGCAAATATATATTGACAAGCTATATAGCGGAGTTTTATATTATTCAATAAGGAGAGAAAGCTTGTACTGAATTGCGTTAATAAAAAACTTTAAATTAATTACCAAAATGTATAATGAAACCATCTTAAAAGTTGAGAGAACAGATTTAAGGAGGGGAAATTTATAACACTTATAAAAATTCAGGAAAAATTAATGTATGTATGATAAAGCTTTCAAGATAAATCTTTCAAATACATATACTTTCATTAATACTTTCAGTAAGTTTTTGTACTTAGACATGTGCCAAAAAAATTACCTAAAAATACTTGAAACCTGTACAATAGCTTGTTGTTACCTAAGGAACCCTAATGATTTCATTCATTGAACTCAAATAAATATAGCTCTTTGTATTCGTAAGCCGCTTGTTACGCCTCACTTGAGCTTCACCTTGATCTTGCCCATGCAACTAACCCATAACTTATTAAAACAAAAACAAAAATAACCATAAAAACAAAACTAAAACAATTAGGGGCATAGAACAGGTGAACAACAATAAATAATAAACAGCAAAAGTGAGGAGGAGGAAGTGCAAGTCAACAAAGTGTGTTCAAGTCGCACTACCGCATTGCCAATATCGAGTATTTATATATATATGATATATATATATGATATATAAGATATAGACGGACTTAAATCCGTATGAAACAGTGGGCGGAGATCTGTCAACTTCTGGCATGCAAAGAGCATCCAAAAGATGCTTGATTTAATTTCTGCGTCGCAAATCTGAATCGCAAAACTTGGACTCTGAGATACAAAGTAAACGAATACATTCCAGCTGAGATCATCTCGAAAATATACAAAAGCCAAGTAGTGAGGCGAGAATGAAACCGAAAAACACAGACTCCGAGCATTTGTTTACTACGAGAATTATTTTATTGCCTTGTTTCACTTAAGCGAATATCAAGCACAACACCAACGCAGCAGCCTTTAAAAAATCTATATTTTAATGCATAAGGTCGGTCGATCTATGGAACCGGTTTACCTCTCTTTCTACCTCTGTCTCTCTGTCTCTCTCTAAGTAGGTGCTCTGACTCTTTCTCAAATTCCCCCTCCCGCATATTTTGCATTTTTAATGACAACAATTTGATGCCGTGAAATTGTAAACAAATTTTCTGAGCATGACTAAAATATGGCAACAATGAAAATATGTTAACCATGACTGAAATTATAATCAAAATGCTTCTCCCGAATCATGACCAACTGGAATCGATTGAGTTTGAGTAGAAAATTATTTAAAATCTGTGAGTAAGAGATAGATATATATACACAGAGAGAGAGAGAGAGAGAGGTAGAGCAATTACGGGGCGTATGCGCAACCAAATCCGTGAGCTTTGATTGCAACTGCCTGGAACTTAATTCGTTTTGAAATGATAATTAAGCAAAGCAGAAGCTGTAGATAAAAAAAAATAACTAATGGAATTTTTTGTAGTTTTAATTTGAAGAGATTTATTTGTTTATTAAAAGTGAGTATCAATAATAAAAAGGGGAATTTAAATCACTAAGAGATTCATTGAGTTGCATAAGGTTTGTTGTGTATTTGAATGTATTTTTTTTATTATTATTATCACGAGTATTAATTAATTAATGATATTAATGGTTAATTTATTTACTAGATTGTATGACCGGTTAATTGATATATATTATATATGGTTTAACTTTAACCCATTTATTTTCTTTAAAAAGGAAATATTTTTGTACTCTTTATAGTATTATAAGCTACATAAGAAATAAGTTAAAAACGAGTGAAGAAGACATTTCCGACCCTATAAATCATATATATTCTTGATCAGCATTAACAGGAGAGTTGATCCAGCTTTGTCCGGTCGAAATCTATTTTTTCAACAATTTCCAAATTTTAAAATTGTCAAAAAATCGACAAAAAAAATTTATTAACCTGATAAAAAAAAAATTAAAATAGGAAAGCATTCCGAATTGAAATCAATTCTTTTTACCTTTGTGATGAGCTTTTTAAACTTCGATTTGTAGAAAAAATTCTTCAATATTTCAATATTTCAATTGTTCTGTAGTACTTATTAATTTAAATTAAGCAATGAAAATCAATCAAGACTTGTTCAACAATTCCCCTACTATAAAACTAGTATTGTTTAAATATATTTCATGTTTTTCTCTATCACAAACATTTTTTAAGTAGTCCTTAGGTACAAACATTTTGTATTCCATTTATTTTACACAATTAGTTACTTTTGTTTAATTTGTTTCTACTGTTCAAACGGAAGTCAACACAAGCCATTCATCAAAGCTTAATTTGGGTGTTGCCAAATACAAAACACAAGAAAAAAACTGGCCCAAACAAAGCCAAAATTCTTTGGTTACATATTTGGTGTAGTAGCGAAATTTATGTCCAGCAGAGAAGAATAACTTGGATACTCAAATTTCCATTTTGTGTGACAGATGCGGCAGTTAACCGATAATTAATTATTATTTAACGCCGGCATATGGCTGTGACGAAATCTTGGCCATGACCAGACAAACAGTAAATTGGCCAAGAGGCAAATCACTATTCGGTCAAGTGGCTTTTGGCCCAATGCCCGGTCTTTATTAATGAAATTTTTCAACCTAATGATGGAGTCATTCAGTCACTCTGTTTATCGGTTTTGGCCAGGTTCAATGCACGCAGCTGTAGGCTGCAATTGTTGGCCAAAAAAAAAATTCTAAATACCCAACCCACAGTATTTTTGCGGATTTTGAGCTGCCCACAATTCGAGCCACAAATAAGTTGAAATATTTCCAACAGAGACAGGTGTCAACCGAAAATCACGCAATGAAAATGTATACCTTAAGGCCGAATAAATTCAGGCCTCAACAAAAAAAAAGAATAAATAAATTTATGCAAATTGAAAGCCTTCTTCAGTGAGAACCAAAAACCAGACCAGAAAAATGAGGAAATTAAGTTGTAGCTACATCGTCCAACTAAATGGGATCCCATCTCTCTCTCTATCTCCATTACTTTATTAATATTTATAATTGTACATGTTCATAAATAATTATAATTATATTTAATCCAATCAAGACTCTTGGGGGGAAAACATGGCATGCCGCAAATTATTAGTTTGGTTACACTCCAGCAGCCAAAAACCCAACTGGCGCCTCTTAAAAAACAAAAGGCAAGTCTTTGGCTTAATTGCCTACCAGTTTAATCAATAATAAATAAATAGCCAAGCAGGAAAAGATTTCGATTTAAGAATTTCTTGCATAATTCGGGCATGAATTATTGAAATGTCGATAAGTCAAAGGCATTTTGAGTGTGGCTTTATTAAATGAATATTAATTGGGCTTTTGTTGACTTTTTAGCTTGCGGTCTAAACTCTTTTTCTCCCTCTATCTCTCTGTGATTTTTTATGTATTAGCCAATAGAATATTGTTTGTATGTTATGGTTTTTTACTTTTGTGTTCGTAACACGTTTTGTGCATTTCCAATTGGCTTTCATCGGCTTAGTCGCAGACCCGTACATGGCCCTCATAACAATGTAAAAAAAAAAAAATAAATCGAAAATACAGTGCAGGTTCAATACAATGTAGTCATGGGTAAAATTTGGATAGATTTTAGTTTGCTTTGATTATAAATATTAAATACAAATTGTTTGGCAGAGTAAATTGTGCATAGATTCCTTGCTCTGTGATTGAATTTATAAATATTTCATACAAGATATAATCAAACCTCTAATTGATTTAACTTTAACCTCAGCTTTGAGGGATATATTTCATTTTGTATTTATAAATAGCAGCTCACACTACTTTTGAGATACATTTGTATCTTTAAGGGGCTTATGTTATATTCAATATATAATCAAACCTCTAAATAATGTAGTTTTAAACTTTAACTTTAACTTTAATAGAGTTAGTTCTTCCAGTAGAATACACACTGTATTTATAAATAGCTGCTCACTATACCTTTCAGATACATTTTGTATCTTGAAGGCGCTTACGTGAGCCACATGTTTATGACTATGAAAACAAGCCAAAAATCCAAGCCAAGAAATTTTGCGATAGAACAAAACCGAATAAAAGGTGGATACTTTTTGCACTTTTTACTATTTTTTTCAGCAAACTAAATTTCAAATCTTTCCTTGGCATATACAATTGAGATTCCTTTGACTGTTAGAAGCTGCCGACATTAGCTAATTGCCTATAATTACCCTGGGGCAGGCAGTAGTAGCAACAATTCAAGCTCAAATAGAATATTTATGCCGGAGAAAAAAATATAACCACAAAAATCCATTACAAGTGCGGAGACAAAAGCCCGCAGCTCGAAATGAATCATGAAATGGTGGAGAGTCCGAGTGGGCAGATATCTAAACCGTGGATATATCTACATATAGTATGTATATAGCCAGAGCCATATCTATGTCCAAAGGCAAATCCCAAACGGATGTGCCTGCTCTGGCCAATATGCAAAAGTGGAAATGGTGATGTGGTGGTGGAAAGCCGGCGAGAACTTGCTTATTTCTTTTTGCTTTCTAACCGAGACAAATGAAAGTTGAGTTGTGAATCGATTCCGATTCCGTCTTGGTAAGTAGTAAGTAGTATGTGGTATGTGGTATGTGGACGACCTTTACCTCATAGGCTGCCACATCCTCCTTGCCATAAATGGCCACTGGCGATGAGTTTCGTGGGGCGAACATTTCACAACAATC